CAATATTTCATTTAAAATTAGTTGAAGTGCGTTAATGGAATATTACGTTCTACTCCCATCAACAGAATAAATGGATAAAATTATAAAAAGCCTAAATCCCATATAAGCCGAGGTACTATTCATGTTTATCTCAACTTCGAATATTAGAAAACAAAAGCATTCCACAAAAATAGATTTTTTTTTGAAAAATCATGAATCATTTCATTTATTTTATTTCTTAGTAGCCGCAATTTTTAGATTTTTAAAATTATTTTTAATCAGGTTTAAAAACAATTAAAGAGACATCTGGATTATTTCAGATTTAAAAATTAATGGGTCGTGTCAGTTCGCTGTTTGGTATAGTCCCCCGGTTTCAAGTTTTTTGTTTTAATTTTGTATTACATTTTCCATTATTTTTCTTTTGTACTTTGAGCTCTTAATCACTTGTTTAAAGACACAGCTTATTTTGGTTATAGCGGGACCATTGAATATTTATACCCAATACCACAGGTAAAGGGGGACAATATAGATCCATAGTTACATTTGATGATCAACATAGAATTACTTTTTATACCCTCAGCCATATAGCAAGAGAAAAGGGCATATACTATTTGATACGTCTACAACGTGCCTCATAGAAATAACGATTTTAGATTTAGGTCTTTTTGGACCAAATCCATTTCAGGACATTTAGAGTCGATCCTGCGATGTTCGTCCATCCGTCTGTCTGGCTGGTCCGCACGATAACTCTCGAAAGGAGTGTCCGTAATATTATTATTAAACATAGATCGAGTTCAGAGGTGGACAATGTCGGCCCACTTCTTCGAGTACCTCATCCACAAAAGGTCGAAATTTGAAAAAAAAAAAAATACAGAAAGAGGATGATCCGATTTTGCCCCAATCTTGTAAATCCGAATATTTCCATCAGTGCTTCGTCAGGTACGGATAATACCTACAGGGTCAAACATTTTGAATTATTACTTACTAACTCTTATAAAATGTGATGTAAGAGTCCGATTGTCCTTAAATTACATACATCACAATATTTTTATTAACCCAAGGTCTGGTGAGACGATGGAAATATCGGTCCACTCCTTCTGGTACTTTCCTCACAAAGGGTCAAAGTTTTGAATATCTGTGAAGCTCAAAAAACGCGAAATTAACATCCAATTCCATTCAGACTTGGCACATCTCAATATTTCCAGCAACTCAAGATATGTTATAAAGATGGTAGAGATCGGACCATTTCTTCTAGTACCTCACACATAAGGTTCAAGAATTTGAAAAATAAAAAGCGAAATTAGGATCCAACTCTCTTCAAATTTTACACATCCAAATATTTTTGCTAACACATGATCTGTTGTGAATATATCATATATCTGCGAACCACTTCTGGTACCTCACCCACAAAAAGTCATAATTGTCAATGCTTTTATCTGTCATAGCTTGCGAACAAGTCAGCGCTTCTTTACAACTTGCTATATCTAAATATTTCTCTCAACCAGAAACCTGAGGTGAATATGGAATTTATCGGAATTTCTGATTTCGCATAAAATTGATGTTCGATTTTCTTGTAATTTTGCCCATTCCAATATTTCTATCTGTATTAGATGAATTATAAAAATGGAATACTTCGGTCGACTCTATCTGGTAACTCACGTACATTTTAATAATATCTAAAAATTATTACATGTCTCACAGTAGTCGATATAGTCCAAACCTGGCAGGTTGTAATATTTATATCATATTTATTTAGGTCCAATACAAAATGGACAACATTGGCCCATTCCTTCGGAACCTACTCCAAAGAGGGCCAAGAATTTGAATAATCATAAGAGAAGTCAAAATATATTTAAAAAATCGAACATTGACTGAACGGAAAAACTGACTGATACTTTTTTTTTAACCCTCCACCATACATAGTATGGAGGGTATATTAAGTTCGTCATTCCGTTTGGAATTCATCGAAATAATAATTTTGGACTCAAAAAGGTGTATATATTATTGATCAGCGTAAAATTGTAAGACGATTTAGTCCTGTCCGTCCGTCCATCTGTCTGCTTGTCTGTCGGTTGTAATCACGCTAGAGTCAGATCTGTCTTTTGTCTGCAGGCAGATTAAGTTTGAAGATGGGCTATATCGGTTCACGATATCGTATGGGCCCCATAGAACGGTACGCCAATATTCGGTACTTTGATGATTTTAGCCAGATTTTTTGAATTTCTACACAAGGAGATCTTCGTGACTACTTTACCTCCTGAAAAAGAATTGTATATACATCTCCGCAATATCGTATACCTCCCATATAACTGTACCTCCCGATATTCGGTATTTTAAAGATTTTTGCCATGGAATTTTCTGAATTTCTATACAAGGAGTTCTTTGTGACTACTTTATCCCTTCCGATATTCGGTATTTGAATGATTTTAGCCACATTTTTTAATGGAATTGTCTGAAATTCTATACAAGGAGTTCTTCGTGACTACTTTACCTTCTGGAGGAGAATTGCCTATATAGGTCTACGTTTTAGTAACCATATAACGCTACCTCCATATAACGCTAAATTTCGTATTTGAAGTTCATAATGGATACTACAGCCTATGACACAAAATTGTCTGTGCAGATGCATGTTTTCGTATAGCCCCCATATAACCTCCCAATATTCGGTATTTTGATGATTTTAGCGTCATAACCTCCCAATATTCGGTATTTTGATGATTTTAGCGTCATTATTCATCGAAATTGTTTCAAATTACGTATTTAGAGTTCGTAATGGGGACTACAGCCTGTGACAGAAAATTGTCTATGCTGGTCCAGGTCTTCGCACAGCTTCGATATAACGGTACTTTCCTATATACGATATTTTTATGATTTTGGCTACATTATTCACCGTTTATTTCAAGTTTCGAATTTGAATATGGTAATGGCTTATGACAAACAATGCATGTGTAGGTCAACGTCGTATAGACCCCAATATAACGGCTATATTTGGTATTTTAAAAATTTTAACAGATTTTTTTAAGGATTTTATTTTTTGAAAATTTGCAAATTCGTTCCAAATGGTGCTTTTTTACTTGTTTTATATTGTGACTGGCAAGTGCAGGCTACTTCATCAGCGAAAAGTCCACTTTAAAATTTTAGATTCATTCCAACAGTTCAGGCCTTAGTACTCAAAATGTACAACTTGTTCAGTTTTACAGGTTTTTTTTTTTGTCATTTTCCCACCAGATCTTGCGTTGGAAGAGATATTGGGATGTGTAAAATTTGATGATGCTCATTTCGTTTTGGATATTCAAAATTTTGAGCCATTGTGGGGTAGGTACAAGAAGGAATAAAAATATGTATCTTATCTTCCCACCAGATCTCTTGTTAATAAAAATATTCGGATGTGTCAAATTTGAAGAGAATCGGACTCTTATTTTACAAATTATAAGAGTTATAATTTTTCCAAATGTTGACCCTTTTTGTGGGAGGTACTTGAAGGAGTGGTCCTATATTTTTTATCTACACACCAGATTTTGTTTTAGTGGAAATATTGGGATATTGGAAACTTGCAGACAATTGATCTCTTATTCCAAATTTTATAATAGTTAAGATTATTCCAAATCTTGACCCTTTGTGTGGGAGGTACTTGTAGGAGTATGACGATATTTTCCGTTTTCGACCTAGCACTGATAAATATATTGCAATTTGCAAAGTTTGCCCTACATTGAGTGGTCTTTTCTTTTTTATGAGAGAAATTGTTTCCTTTGAAAATGTTGACCTAATGTGGGGGAGGTACCAGAAGAAGTTCACTAAAGTTGCCCATCTCCGAAATCGATCTACGTTGGACAATACTATTACGATGTACCAAGCTTGGATCAAATCGGATACTCCCTTCAAGAGTTATCGTGCGCACCAGCCAGCCGGACAGACAGACTCCAAATGTTCTGAAACGGATTTGGTCCAATTAGACCTAAGGTCTAAAACAGTTATTTGGATAGGGCACATTTTTGCCGTATCAAATGATATATACCCTCTGTAGCCATATGGCTGAGGGTATAAAAATCGAACATTGGCTGAGGGTATACATCTGTTGCTAAAACTTTTTCACCTGTTACTTGGCCTTTTATCCACAATTATATCTCAGTGACGGTTCGGGAATTTTTTTCGAACAAACCTCGTATCGGATTTAAGCCTCTGCCTAATACAAATTCACAGAATTTTAAAAATATTCATGTAATTACGAGCCAAGTAGGAAGCTATTTCCATTGTTATACCTCGTAGCCAGTTACTTGAGTGTCCTTATGGTAATCTAACGTGGGGGGCACAAAAATGCGCATGTCTACTTAACGAAAAGGCTCAGACAAAATACGCGCGAGTTATCGGGATGAAAATCTATCAACAGTGTGCTTATGCCACAATGTGTGTGTGTGTGTATGTATGTACTGATTTAGCGGAATGTATACATGCGAGAGAGAACGAGTGCAATTGTGTGTGAGTGTGTGTTTTGTAGAGAGTGAATTTGGTGAGGAAAAAGACAACAAAAATTCAAGTGACTTTCCTTTTATTATGCCTACTGTGCTGTTTTTATGAGCGTGTGAGTGGGTGTGTGTGCGTGTGTTTGGGCTTTATTGTAAAAGAGGCAACCAAACAAGTCGGCGGCATAAGCGATTAATACTTTTCGGTTTTGTATCCCTTGCCCTTGTTTTCATTTTCCTTTCCTCGATTATTTGAAGAGAGTGTGTGTGTCGGTGGTTTGTTTTCTGTTTTCGTTGTTTTTTATGGCCATAGCCGTTTTTGTTGTTGGTTTTGATTTCAGTGATTTTGTTTTAGCGTTTGATACTTGTTTGCTAAACGCTTGAATTCCTTTTTGGTTTTGGTTCAACAACCCCGACGTGGTGGCGAATGAGTGAGCGAACACGTGCTGAAACAGCAACAAATAATAATAACAGCAGCGGCAGTGGCAGCAGAATTCCATAACATTTTCACTGACAACGGCATTCATTCATTCACTCGCTCTTTTTCGCTTTTATTTCCAGCTCCCCGCTCCCAAAGAAAAGAAATAGAAACGAAAACAAATAGCAAATCAAAGCAAATAACAAAACAAACAAACAAAAGAGAGAGCTAGGCGTAGAAGCAACTTGCAAAGCTTATCACTCATACGCCTGGTATGTCCGAGCATATGTTAAATGTTAAGGCCTCAACAATGCTGCCGCAGCAACAACAATGGCTTGCCTAATTAGCTAATATCCATCATTGCCCCATGCGATCCAAGCTGCATTTAAGTGATTTGATCGACGATTTGATTTCGAATATTTGAACCTTGCGAAGTGATTTGATATTCTGCAAAACGATTTGGTAGTGGTCGCAGCCGTACAGCAGGCCCTGGGGGCGCCAGCAAAACCTATTTAACGTTTGACTAATGCTCAGCTTGAAAATTGAAAGCAAAAACTTGAAATTGATAAGTCAAACTAAAAGCATCCTGTAGCGTAATCATAAACTGAATACTCATCCTCAAGTCACTTGTAGAGTCGGCCGTTACCGTATCACCAGCATCATCATCATCACCTTTAATATCATCATTCTGCTCTAACAACAACAACTACAAGCTTTGCTATATAGTTAACCAAACATTCGCAAAAAACACATTCAAGGTTAGTATCAAATTTATTATTCACCCCCGGCGTTCTTTTCTCTCCTCTTTTAAGATATACCCATCATCACAATCCGCATCACCACCATGACTTATATACCCAAAAAAAATTCCTATTATTCACGCTCCCACACAGCTATGAATCTAATAAATATGGACTCGGAGAATAGGGTGGTACTAAACGTAGGCGGCATCCGACACGAAACATACAAGGCAACCCTGAAAAAGATACCGGCCACCAGGTTGTCGAAACTGACTGAAGCGCTGGCCAACTACGATCCGCTGTTGAATGAATATTTTTTCGATCGACATCCGGGCGTGTTTGCACAAGTCTTGAATTATTACAGGTAAGTTGTGAAAATGTGGAATTAAGTTTTGAAATCGAAACTAAAATTCTGTGGGAAAGAGGAGATCCTCAAGGTCTACAGTAGGCATAGAAGAGGAATAGAATATTTGTGAGGCATTGTAAAGGGAGGAAAGGTCCATAAAGCCTTCCATAGCTCTAGAAGATTCATAAAGTCTTTTATGATGATAGCATACCTATGAGGTCTTCTATAAGTATAGGCGAACCATGAGATCTATTAAGTTAGAAGGCCCATGAGGTCCAATGTAGTGATAGGAGACTCATCAGATTCTTGAAGATTCCTGAGATTTTTTACCAGAATATCAGACCTATGAATACTTCTATGAGGACAGCCGACCCATAAAGTATTCTCTAAGGATACCCATTATACCTCCTATAGACTCAGAAGGCCTTATTCAGGGATAGGGGACCCATGCGGTATTTTATAATGATAGCAGACCTATGAGGTGTTCTATAGTGATAGTAGACCAATGAGACCTTTTATAGGGATAGAGTACCCATGAGGGTAATATAGGGATAGAAGACCTGTGAGGTCTTCTATGGGGGTACGAAACATATGAGGCCTTCCGCAGAGGTAGAAGACCCACTAGGTCTTTTATAAGAATATATATCCCACGAGTTCTTTTATGAGGATATGAAATACGCAATTCCTTCCCTAGTGATTGGAGAACCATGAGATCACCTATCAGGATAGAAAACCAATGAGGGGTTCTATAATGACAGAAGACCCATGAGATCTTCTATAGGATTAGAAAAGCTACGAGGCCTCCATAGGTACAGAAGACCCATGAGGTCTTCTATAGGCATAGATAACCTATAAAGTCTTCTAAAAGCATATATGACTTATGAGGTGTTCTGTAAGCATAGAATACCTATGAGGTTTTCTAAAGCTAAATGAGACCTGTGAGGCCTTCTAAATGTCTAGGAGAATTATGAGGTCTTTTATAGGCATAGAAGAAATATGAGGTGTGCTATAGGCAAAGAAGACCTATGAGGTCTTCTAAACCTATAGGAAACCTCTGAGTTCTCCTTATGCTATAGGAGACTTGCGATGTCTTCTAAAGCTGTAGGAGATCTATGAGGTCTTGTGTGACTCCCTCAGGAGTAGAAGACCTATGACGACTTCTAAAGCTATAGGAGACCTATGAGCTCTTCTTTAGTCATAGGAGACTACGAGGTCTTCTAAAGGTGTAGAAGACCTATGGGGTCTTCTATAGGTATAGAAGACGTATAAGGCCGTCTAAATTGATAGGAGAACTATAAGGTCTTATATAAGAATATTTGACCTATGAGGTCTTCCAAAGCTATAGGCGACCAATAAGGTCTTTTATAGGCATAGAAGACCTATAAGGTCTTCTATAGGCATAATCGACCTATGCGCTCTTCTAAAGACATAGAAGAATTATGAAGTCTTCTAAAGGCATAGAAGACCTATGAAGACCTCTATAGAAGATCCATGAGGTCCTCTAAAGACATATAAGACCAATGAGGTCTTCTAAAGGCATAGAAGACCTATAGGGTCTTCTGTAGGAATAGAAGACCTATAAGGTCTTCTATAGGCATGGAAGACATATAAGGTCTTCTATAGGCATAGAAGACCTATGAACTCTTCTAAAGACATGGAAGACCTACGAAGACCTCTATATGCACAGAAGATAGACAGAAGACCCGTGAGGTCCTCTAAAGATATACAAGAACAATTGGAAGATCTCAGAAGACCTAATAGGTCTTCTATGCCTTTAGGAGACCTCATACTTATCCTATCCTTTATAGAAGACCTCATAGGTCTTCCATGCCTTTAGAAGACCTATGAGGTTTTCTCTATATAATAGGATAGCTATGAGGTCTTCTAAAGGCATAGAAGACCTATTAGGCCTTCTGATATCCTCTAAAGCTATGGGAAGCCTGTGAGCTCTTCTATAGGCATAGAACACCTATGAGGTCTTATAAAGCCATAGAGGACCTATGAGGACCTCTATTGGCATAGAAGACCTATGAAGTCTTCTAAAGGCATAGAACGCCTATCAGGTCTCTAAAGCCATAGAAGACCTATTGGGTCTTCTGAGATTTTCTAAGGCTATAGGAGACCTATGAGGTCCTCTTGAGTCCTTTAATAGCTATAGCAGTCCTATGCGATTTATGTAATCTTCAAATTTGAATTGTTTTTTTGTGTTAAATTTTCTCAATTCTCTTCGAATTTCCTAGAACTGGAAAACTGCATTATCCCACGGACGTATGCGGTCCACTGTTCGAAGAAGAGCTGGAATTTTGGGGTTTAGATTCAAATCAAGTAGAACCATGTTGTTGGATGACCTACACCCAGGTGAGTATAAATGGTCTCCCTTTCTCATAATAAGTACTCTCTTCCATATCTTTCTTTCCAACAGCATCGTGACACTCAAGAAACTCTAGCCGTATTAGATCGTTTAGACCTCGATACAGAAAAACCGTCCGAAGAGGAATTAGCTCGAAAATTTGGTTTCGAAGATGACTACTACAAGGGAACACTATCGTGGTGGCAGGAAACGAAGCCACGGATATGGTCATTATTTGATGAGCCATATAGCTCGAATGCGGCCAAGGTAAAAATGTCCCTCTCAAAAGAGATCCCTTTATTTGAATAACTCTCTCTCTCTCTTTTTCCGCTTGCAGATAATTGGCGTCGTATCGGTATTCTTTATATGCATTTCAATATTGTCGTTCTGCCTGAAAACCCACCCGGACATGAGGGTACCCTATGTCCGTAACAATTCAGTGCAGACGGCCAATGGCAGCTCCGGCTGGTTTCTGGAGAAGACACAAACAAATGCCCACATAGCTTTTTTCTACATTGAGTGTGTTTGTAATGCCTGGTTTACTTTTGAGATATTAGTGAGTCCACCATTAAAATCTGGCATTTTCAAGGGATAATAATTGTTTGTTGTATTCCCTCCCCACCCCAGGTCCGTTTTATATCCTCACCCAATAAATGTGATTTCATCAAGTCATCTGTGAACATCATCGACTACATTGCCACACTGAGTTTCTACATTGATCTGGTGTTGCAACGTTTCGCCTCACATCTGGAGAATGCCGATATTTTGGAATTCTTCTCGATCATACGTATTATGCGATTATTTAAGCTGACACGGCACTCGTCGGGATTGAAAATATTAATACAAACGTTTAGAGCCTCTGCCAAAGAATTGACGCTGCTGGTATTTTTCCTAGTCCTGGGCATTGTCATATTCGCCAGTCTGGTCTACTATGCGGAGCGTATACAAACGAATCCGCACAATGATTTCAATAGCATACCGCTGGGCCTGTGGTGGGCCCTGGTGACGATGACCACAGTGGGCTACGGCGATATGGTGCCAAAGACCTATATTGGCATGTTTGTGGGTGCGCTGTGTGCTCTAGCCGGTGTGCTAACCATTGCACTGCCAGTGCCCGTCATAGTCAGCAATTTTGCCATGTACTATTCGCATACACAGGCCCGTGCTAAACTGCCAAAGAAACGTAGACGTGTGCTTCCGGTTGAACAGCCCCGTCCACCAAGGCTGCCAGGTTTGGAGGGTTGTTATTCTTCATGTCGGATAGTTAGTAAATTGTTTTTCGTTGTGTTACAGGTCAATCAGGAGGTGTTAGTGGCTGTGGTACACCCGGTTCGGGACCAAATTCAGGCCCTATGGGCTCTGGCGGTACTGGACCCAGACGTATGAATAATAAGACCAAAGATTTAGTGAGTCCTAAATCAGGTAAGTCTGAAATGTGAAGAAGAGGGAAAACTGATTATAATTGATACTCAAGGACAACACAACACGATTTATGATATAATGCCGGGATATTTTATAATATAATGTGCTGAGAGATTAATAAACAGGGTCAAAACATCTTTTCGGATCGTAGACATTTTATATTGAACTGATGTAAGGGCAAAATCCATAATTTTCGAAAAAAAAATCCTCATATTCAATTGTTTTAATCCAAGGCTTTTTTAATTAAATATTTTTAAGAAACTCAAAATTTTTTAATCCTACAAACTGAAAAATTTTGCAACTTTAAAAAAATCAAAAATTAAAAAAAACTATAGAAATGTCAGATTTGGGTCGTAGCCGACTGTATGATACCCTACACCATTATGTAAATTTAGTAGTAGATAGAAATTATTTGAAGACGATCATACTAACTGTGGACCTTTTCCGAATGCGAACCATGGCTTTAGAGAAGTTATAATTTGGAATCTGAAGGAAATAATATATGAGTGGTATATCTAACTCTGAATTCATTTCCACCAGTTATTTGGAGCTATATCCAAATCTGAACCAATTTCGACAAAATTTGCAGAGAAATTTCTGAACTGCATCTGATATCTGGTATCAAAAATATTACGAATGTGAGGGACTTAAATACCAAATCGGATGAAACATATGTATGTGGGAGCTGAAGCTAATCTGAACTGATTTTGACACACTTTCTTCTAGGCGGAATTCAGTCAATGACCTCAATATACAATAACAGAATTTCAGATATATTCCTTCACCCAATACAAAATTTTGTAATACAGGGTTGCCCATATTCGACGGACCTTTGGGCCCATTCCAATCGACGAGGCTTGTCCGCAGGCAACATTCTTTGCGTCAATTGAATTTTGTACGGGAACAAATGCAAATCAATGCGAATAATCCGTTGTAAAGTGGACCGAGCCATGCCCAACTGCTGAGAACGGCGTTTTTGGGATGTTCTTGGGGACCTCTCAATATTCTCGGCCGATCGCCTTGGTCGACTTTTATATGGCCTCTTCGGATTAGAAAGAGCCTTACCAGTCGAATGTTTTTCGTATAAACGCTTAATGGTGTTCTTAGAAGTCGCACTTCTCACATTTTTTAATGTTTTAAAAGCACGTTGAGTTTTCACAATTGACTTCTTCTGTTGAATGTAAATTTCAAAAGTTATGGCGTTGCCAGATGGGTCCGTCGAATATGGGCAACCCTATAGGACGTCTCTAAAAACCTCCTCCATATCTTTAGGACATACACCAACAGTGACATCTATATCAGATTTCAGGATTTTAGCTCTATTCTCTCAACCAATACCAAATTTGGTACTACAGGGTGAAGTAAAAAAACTGCAACAAAATCGAATGCCACAATTTTTAATTTTTTTTTTTAAATTTTATTGAATGAAAGCAAAAAATGTCGGAAATAGCATCAAATTTTAGAATAAGTTTAGATTTGTTCGAATTGGTCACCTTTGGCACGAATTATGGCCTTCAAACGGCCAATGACACCGTCACACGCTGCCCGAATGTTGCTCGGCGGTATTTTGTCCCATTCCCGTCGAAGCGCATCCTTGAAGTGATCGACACTTTGGTATTTCTTAGTGCCAACCTTGCTTTCCAAAATACTTCAGACACAATAGTCCAACGGATTTGGTATCCGGAAATTTTAGTGGGCATTGTGCGCTGGATATGAAGCGAAGAACCTCGTTTTGTAACTATTCTTGGGTGGCGCGTGCTAAGTGCTAAGTCCTGTTGTAATGTCCAAGGTTTGCGGCCAAAATGTTTGCGTGCCCAAGGCTTTAATACACCCTTCAGAATATTTTCGCGATAATATTCGGCATTAATTCGGATGCCACGGTCGATTAATACGAGCGGAGAGCGGCCATCGGCTGTTATGGCTGCCCACACCATTACCATGGCCGGCGCTTGAGTTCTGGTGGCCAACCGAAGGTGCACATTTTCAGATGACCTCTTCATTTTTTTTGTTTGCAAACTGCTGGGTAACGAATTCTTTCTTATTGGAGAAAACCAAATTCGACTGTTCACCACTATCGGCCAAGCGAAAAAAAATCTTTAGCTCTTTTGAGTCTATTTTCTTTCTGTTGCGGTGTAAGTTCTTGGACTGTTTGCAATTTCAATGGCTTAACCCCGAGCTCATTTTTCAATACTTGTCGAATGAAATATTTTATATTAGTTCGGCTCACGAACCATTTTTCGGTCACTGCGACGCGGGAATCGATCAAGTCGCTTCTTTACTTTTCGAACCGTTTCTGCTGATGTTGCTACCAGTATCACGGCAACGAGCGATGGTACGAGACACAAAAGATTTATTCACATTTAAATGCTGGAGTGCTCTGATGATAGCCACTTGTGGTTTTCCAGCCAAATATAAAGAAATCACACTATCACGTTTGAAATTCATCACGAATAACTTTTTTTCTGGAAAATTTTTACGAAAGTTCAAATTTTGGGATTTCAGCTCTATATATTAACTCAGTACCAAATTTAGTACAATTTAGTACTTTTCGAACAATTATAATACATATTTCCAAAATAACCTCCACATCTCAATTCCAGAAACAAACAGAAACCTCAATATCAAATTTGAGGATTCCAGTGCTATCCCTTCACCCAATACCAAATTTGGTACCATTTAGTACTTTTCATACAAATATGGGACACATTTCCAAACCACCTCCATATCTTAACTACAGACACTAAAAGTGACATCTATTCCTTCGCCCAATACAAAAATTTGGTACTATTTAGTACTTTTCGTACAATTATGTTACACATTTCTAAATTTCGGAATTCCAGCTCTATCCCTTCACCCAATACCAAATTTAAATTTCAATTTAGTTCTTTTCGAACAACTAAAGTAAAACTTTTCCTATAAATCTCCACATCAGATACCAACAGTTATCTAAATATCCAATACTAAATATAGTACCATTTAGTACTTTTCGTACACTTACCCGAACCCACCTTCATAACTCAATTCCAGAAACCAACAAGGACCTCAGTAATGTTATTTTTAAATTTCTGGATTTCAGCTCTATCCGATCCTCCAAATTCAAATTGTACGAAATTTGGTATCATTTAGTACTTTTCGTATACATGAGCACACACTTCCAAAACTACCTCCTTACATCGATTCTACTCCTACAACTTGATTTCCATTCCAAATTTCAAATTTTTAGCCCTAACCCCTCACATGATACGAAATCATACCAAATGCAGTACATTTCAGTACTTTTTTGCACATTTATTATGCGAATTTCGAAAAACCCTTTGATGCATCGATCATACACTTCATCAGTGACCCTCACTCCAAATTTAATTTCTAGCTCTACTGGTTCGTCAAATACAAAATTTTGTAGCTTTAAATACCTTTCTTGCCCGAGTTTCCAAAAACCCTTCGGACCGAGGGTGACCCTCACCAAAATTTTAAAATTATAGATTCAGCCGTTTCTTCTGAGCTTTTCCAAAACCCCTTTCTTGCCCGAGTTTCCAAAAACCCTTCGGACCGAGGGCGACCCTCACCAAAATTTTAAAATTATAGATTCAGCTGTTTCTTCTGAGCTTTGATGAATTATCAAGTCAGTCAGACAATTTTTTACACTTTTATTGGCAGAGATATATGGGAGCATTATCTAAATTTGGGTCTAATGCCACCAATTTCAATCCTTTGAATCACAGATGGACAAAAGGACGGACATGCATAAATCATCTCAGAGTGTGATTCTATGGAGACAATCTAAAGTAACTTTGGGACTATTTCGTTTCCTTCTCCATGTTGTAGGGTATGAAAAGAAGTTAAAAAATCGAAGATTTTTGGAAAAAAATATTTTGAATAAACCAATAATATTGAAAATGCAGTTCACAATTATTGAAAAAAAAAATTTCTAAAAAATAATGATTATTGAAAAAATTGTAAAAAATTAGAGTAGTCATATATAGAAGTTTTTGAAACCGTCCAAAGCCCTATCGGCTAGGTTTATGTACAAATTGAAAATAAATAAAAAAATAAACAAAAAATAAATAAAAATAAAATTTACATATATTTAAAATTTATTTAAAGAAGAATTAAAAAAAAAAATACTAAGAATTTTTTTAAGTAAACTATTACTGGGCTAAAAATCCAGGTCCAATGATCCTTAGGGTATATTCTTAATAAGCATACGATTATAAAACGGAAAATATTTGAAAAATGGTGAAAAAATATTTGGTATTACCAAGAGAGTCCTTCATTTTAAGATATAGATTTTTAAATAATCGGTTGATAGGATTAAAAAAAATATTCCAACGATCCGAAAAGATGTCACACGTAAACAAAACAAGATATGTTGTACAGTTGTAAATACATAACTACCATATATGTAAGAAATGAATTTGACATTTATACACTACAAAAATATAAACCATATATTTTGGCCTATTTTTGTCGTTGTTTGCCTATTTTACGTTTATTATGATTTTTCTCTTAAAAACAACAACAACAAAATCCAAAAACAAAACTTCACAAAACTATGAAAAATATACCAAACAAAATCAGAAGATGCAACTCAAACAGCTGATGATGTATTCAGAAACCAAAACACTTGCCAAAAATGACATTCAAATGCAACAGAAACACGATCACCACTCAAATCAATACTCTCGATACCGATACAAATGAACGCTGGCTGGCAACAGCTGCGGAACTCTTACAGAAATCCGAAACAGAAACAGAAAAACAAAAAAACGCAATTTGAATGTGGACACAAGTTAAGCTCACCATAACAAGTCACACTCTATGCCTGGCAAACAAGAAAGCGTGTTTTCTCTGCTATTATTCTCTATCTCTACTCGACTGCCTTGAATGGCTTTGTAAATTATCCCCCCTTAAAATGCAAGCAAAACAAAAAACAATCAAGCGTATTTTTGTAGAAGCAGCATCCTGCAATAGAGATACCTACATACTTATGCAGCAGATAG